CCCCCCCACTCCTCTCAACTTTCTAAGGTTTTAGGACATCGACCTATGTGAAAAAGTTGATTCATTGTGATGCAGTTTGAGGACAGTGGGTGAAGAAGTACCTGGCTCAGGTGAGGAATGTCCCTACTCATCTCATGGTCAGAGGTGGTCAGTGCTTTGTTCTTCCTAGGAACACAGCAGTGAAGAGTGGTTGCCCCGTCATCCCCCCAAAAAAGTTCAGTTTTGAACACACTGAGTTTAAGGAACCTGTGAGTCAATCATAAGATGGCCCAGAGGCAGGACAAAGGCCTAAACTGAAGTTGGGGAGTCATTAGTATATGGATGAAAGTGAACAAGATTATCCAAAGAGAGTTTGCAGAGTGAAGAGAGGACCTGTGACTAACCTGGAGGACACCACTATTTCAGGGTGTCCCAGCCCAATCAGCCAAAGACCACCAGGGACCACCGTGAAGTCAGGTTTATTGACCCATTGCAACGAGGAAGACAACACACCAGAGGAACCATGTAAGGTCCCACTGAACACATAGGAAAAGAGTTATTAAAGGATTTAAGAGAGAAGTGGAAAAGGTGACATTTAAATAAAGCACTATTTTGATGGCTCAAAGCAAAGCAGAACTGTGTGTGTAAAGAGCCCAATATCAGGTATGGACTGCTAAATGGACCCAGCGTCCTGTTTTCTTGGAAACAATAAAGTTAAGATGGATGTGGAATATTATGTTCAGAAATGCCTTATCTGAATCTCTGCACCTGTGTTGTAAATCCTGTCCGCTTAGTGATTTAGATCCTTCTAGCAAGAGTTTTGTTTTTACTTATATAATTTCAAACAGCAAAGTTTCTGGTAGTCTATTTTAGAAAACAAAGTTGCTCAGTGAGTAAGAAAGAATTAGTGACTCAAAGGAAGATGTGGTTATGACATTTTATAGCTGCAGTGTGTCCTTGGGAAAAACATTCCTTGTTAATTTTGCAGCTGGCTTTATCTCTGTCTGTTACTCCAGCCTGATGAATAGTAGGGCAGATTTTTACAGTCCAAACTAATGTTTAGGTTTTCAAGGGACAAACAATGGAGGGAGAATCTGCAAAGAGAAAGAGTAGTGAGTAGCCAGGAAGAAAACTGAAATGTAAGTCAAAATAAGAAGGTGATTGTTGGTGCTGAATGCTGCTAAGAGGTCTAGTTTACTGCACCGCTGTCCAACACGGTAGCCGCTAGTCACAGGAGGCTATTTACATTTAATTAAACGTGATTAACTAGATTAAACTTAAATTATTTTAATCATAAATTCAATTAAATAAAAATTTTTATTCCTCCATGGCACTTAGCTACATGTCACATGTTCGGTAGCCACAGACTAATAGGTGCCGTATTGGACAGCGCAGATATAGAATATTTCCATCATCAGAAAAAGTTCTATTGATCAAGCAGTAAGAGAACTGAGAGTCCCAGGCGACGCTGACGCCCCTTGAGTGCAGTCTCCAAGAAGGGATGGGAGTTGAAGCCATGTGGAAGGTGCAGACAGATGAGTAGTATTCTTTCTAAACTCAGCCCGAAGAACGCTATTCTCTTATGACAGCTACTGTGTAACTCCCGCGTACCTGGAACCATGAGGTTTTCCAGCCAGCACAACCCCACGACGGTCTCCAAACTTCAGCTCCTACCGTGCCCGGGGCCGTTCTTCTAGGTCTCACTCAGGCTCTTGGGCTTCTGGAAAATATAGTTCTCACAGCGCTCCAACCCCAGAAAGGCTCTAGCCATGAACTAAGGTTCCCATGAGGCTGTGCGTGGGCCGTTACGGTACACCTCACCGCAGCCGCCACGTCCGCCGTGGGGGGCGCCAGAATCGGCCTCCGAGGCTTGGTGGAGCGGTCACTGAGATGCTGGAGTCCCAGGAGAGAAGGAATATAGAGACTGCGTTGTGCCTCCTCTTTGCCACTCCTCAGATATTCGCCACTCCGGGGCTCTGGAGACATCTCAACTGAAGTGAAGCCGGCAGGGGCCCCAGGGAGCCCACTAGGGGACTTGGGGAGCGTCTAACAATCAACCATTTGAGGGCCATTGGTCGGCCGCTGGCGGGACGCGCAGGCGCAAATGCAGGACCTCGCGGCAGCTGTAAACACCAAAGAACGCCTGCGCAAACAGAGTGACTCTGGATGGACGCATGGGGGCGCCTTAGCCAAGATAATATAAAT